CTTCCCCCCACCTCTCCCCCCGATGTTTGCCATCGGGGTTGGGTTTCTGCCGCTCGGCAACGACGTTGTAAACCAAGCCGCCCCTCCCCCGGTGTTTGCCATCAGGGTTGGGTTTTCATCGCGAGGCAACGACGTTGTAAAACAAGCCGATCACTTCGTGAGCTCGGCAGTAACCATGAATAGTGGTCGAGTAGATCATGTTGTGCGGGGTGGAGAACCCTCACTTCGCGCAAAGGGGATGATCGTACCACGTTGTTTTAAAATGGCCAAGCACCCTCGAGGCAGTCACACAGTGCTTACAACTGTCTCTCGAAGTGCAATCACCAGAAAATGTACGAAGTGATTCGCAGCCGCCATCCGAGGAAGTAAGCACAAGATGCCGAAGACCCATAACAGGATGCGGCGCACCCTCCCATGCGACTCGCCGAATACCTCACTGCGCTTCACGCTTGGTGATATGAGAGCCTGATCCGGTGAGACCCCAGCGTGCTCCGTCCCANAGAAAGTAGGGAGGAGGCAACCCTTCGGAAGAAGGTACGAAGCGAAGACCACTTGGAGACATACGGGAAGTTGAAAGAAGGGATAAGGATGAAGAGTTACTTGGACGGCCCCATGGACTACGCAAAAAAACTGAAGTTGCAATTTCGAGTAGGCGATCTGGACTTGCCAGAACGGAGGAAGAGGTACAGCAGCCGTAGGAGAGAGGAAGAGGAGGATAGACAGACATGTCCATTTGGCAAATCGGAGAAGAGTAGACCCCACATAGTTGGGGAGGGTGAACTGTACAGGAAGGAAAGAGAGGATCTCGAGGAGGACATGAGACAGATAGGGTGTGACATGGACAAGTTTGGTAAATTAGACAACAGCGAAAAAACGATCGCCGTAATTGGGGATAGATGGTGGGCACAAAAGGCCGTAGAGGACTGGGATAAGATGTGCAAGAAGTTTTTATGTAGTTTGTGGCAGGAACGTAAAGAGCTCCCAAATGTTGGTGGTGTCTCT